GTCACCTGTGAGCGATAGCCATGTGATGTGAGTATCAGTCACCTGGAGGCAGGGCTTAAAAGCCTGAATTTTGCCTGAAACTCTCAGACTGAAGAAGTCTCTTGGAAGAGAGACGAAACGTTTCATTAGAGAAGAACCCATCCAGAAGACCTACACAATTTTTTTCGTTTTGATTTTTTACCTGGATTACTGAGATGCATCAGGACACACAGCTGTAGACCTCCCCAAGACCCTGAAAAATCATCCATGTTCTTATGACTTTTTAGGAACTCAGACTCCGAGAGCTTTCGCAGCAGGTGTTTTAAAACCATCTGTCACTTGGCTTCAACAAACAGGTTCTGTGTACATCTCTTTCATAGAATCAAAAAAATAGAAAATAAAATTAAAATCTATTTAAAAGACATGTTGCAATGCATTGCAGTAGAATTTTAAAAAGTGCACTCTGGGTGAAAACTTTTGGAGGAGACTGTATAGGCTGTGTGATTCTGCTGCACTCTGTTCAAGGTGTCAAATTATTGATTGYTTGTTGGAATTTGATTACTGCCATTTGAGTGTGTTCAAAAAGGTGTAGCAGCAAACKTACTTTATTTCAATGCAGAGTAAGAAGACTGGCTTACAGATAAGCAAARCATCATGCAAATACAGGGCGGACATTCACAAAAAGACACACTACTTCCTTGACCTTTCTTTAGACTAGAGTTCTGACAATATGTTTCTTTCAAAACTATTTTCACACAAATAATGCCCCATCTTTTAGACGAATCAAGTGTCTTTAGGGTTTAATCTAAGGTTGCCATCCCTACACTTTTACATCAAACTTTTCAAACTGACATAACTTCCAACTATATAAGCTTTGCATAAGTGTTCATTACAGTGTAGGAGTAACAAGCACAGTAGGGCAGTAAAACCTAAAATGGAAATAACCATTGCACAATGCAGTCATTATATAATGTCATYACCCTAATTCCTGATTGAATGCAGATGCATTAAGCCACACTTTACTTTGCACATGCAGGATTACCTGGAAATCCCTGAGGAACCCCAAGCTGCAGAACTACACATGAATCCAGCACAACAACCTCCATTTCAAATATTTACTGTGCGTTTATGACATATTGACCTTTATGTGACAATAAAATGTAGCTTTGCACGCTTTGTGTTTCTCTGATGGGGAATTTAGGGAGTATGGTGGTTGATGGTCAGAGCCAGCAGGATGGAGCAGCTGTCAGAATCTGACTGATGTCTCTCTCTCTCTCTCTCTCTCTCTCTCTCTCTCTCTCTCTCTCTCTCTCTTTCTGTGTGTGTGTGTGTTTGTGTGTTTACACGCCTTGCATTTTCCACAAGTGACAGCCTGTTATTGGGAAACACATGATGTGGTGTAGCTATGGGCTCTGACAGACACTAAAACAGTGGAATGTGTGACAAAATATGCCCCAACAGTATGAGAGAATGATTTCCCCTCTTTTTTCTTTTTTTTCTTTTTGTCTTCTTTACACCAGCTTCCTTCCCTTGGTAAATTGTAGGCCAGAGGTGGCGGAAATACGTCAGTTATGTGGGTTCTCTGAAGCTCGAGTGCGTCTCTTAATTTCGGATGAAGGGAATGATGAGGAGGAGGACGGGTGGCGAAAGAAGATTTTAATCACTCCTGTCGCTTTAAGGGCACTTATCAAAGCCTTATTATGCGAATAGAAAATACCAGGAGCCACTGAGCGACTGAGCAGCCAGGGGACGGACTGGAGTGGATTTTATAGGAAACATTATCTGAGCTGGAAGAGAGCGCCTCGTCGCCCCGTGGAGTTGGATTTATTCGGACGGTTCGGCTCATTTAGGAAATCTTGCGCATTAAAGCAGCCTGTAGGACTTCCTTTTTATCTAGCCCTGAAGCGAGGACAGGAATACGAGTTAAAACTCAACGCGGGATCCTTCGCTCATCCCGACAGCTTCAAATCGAGCTTTGGTTTCGGACGGATAGCGGACCCGGAGCTCTGTGTGTGTGTGTGTGTGTGTGTGTGTGTTTTCTGGATCTGACAGCCTTGGATCATGGCTTGTTGGGGTGGTGGAGAAGAACAACGGCCAGCAGCGACATGATTTTCCTGCGCTGTTTGTTTGCGTACCTTTGCTGCTGCGAGCTGTAAGGCTTTCAGCCATCCGCCGCTCGGGGTTTCCGTGCASCAAAAGTTGCGGGGCGAGTGTGAATGCGTGGATTTGCCACTGTTTGGCCGTTCTCCGCACCTGCTTTTTCCACGGACACCGCGTCGACACGGTGCGGATTCGTGACAGAGCCGCGCGTGGACCCGCGCCCRCTCCGCTCCGCTCGCCTGCCCGCCGCTTCTTCCCCCCCGGATCCACTTGAACATTTGAGCTCGTCGGAACGAAGGTTTTGGCCAGGTTTCTACTCAAGGTCACAGAATGGTTTAAAGGCTGCATTTGTTCGCGCGCGCGCACGCGCACGGCGCTACCCTCGCGTTCTAGCGCAGCCTGCAAGCCACACACACACACACACACACACACACACA